AATTAGAGAGACTAGGCCCTGAGGAGGTTCTGGCAAGATGGCAGAATAGGCAGTCAAGCTGCACAGACCCTCTGCAACAAAGCAATGAGAAACCAATATAGAAGACAATCCTGGAACCCTGAGCATTGAAGGGAAGGATAAAGTACTGGATTAAATATCAACTAGTAGGGGAGCCTGCAGGAAAACAGTGAGTAAGGAAACAAATGGAGATGCAGACTGCTGGTTGTCCTGAGGGTGCAGCCATTTTGAATATTTGCAAGCATGTCCAGTAACAATGTAAGAATTGGCTTTGTTCACCAAGGACTACATGGGCAAGAACTTCACTGGTGCCTAACAACCAGAAAGGGAAACAGCAAAGAAGGAGACAAACAGAGCTGGAGACTGCTGGTTGTAATAAGAGTGCAGCCATTTTGAATATTTGCAAGTGGTGTGGCCATTTTCAATATATGCAAGCAGCATTCTGACATGGACACTGACTTAAGAATAGGCTTTGCTTGTTGACATCACGGGTAATCACACTGGAGGCTGATGACTAGAAAGGTGTGATATTCCCATTGTTAATCTTATACCCCACACCCTCTTGGTGAACAGAGGTGTGGTCAACCTTTGCCTTCATCCACCTTCTTCATCAGCAGGAATTCCATCTTGGTCTGTGCCCTGGCAGAGCCTGGGTGGCCTGCCCCAGTCCCTGTAGTTCTATTTTTGTTTGTTTTTAAATTCTTCTTTTTTTTTCTTCTTCTTCCTTTCTTTCTTTTTATTTATTTTCTTCTCTTTCCTTTACCTGGTTCTTGGTTTTTGTTGTTGCTTTTTTTTTCTCTTCCTTTTTCCTGGTTCCTTTCTTTTGGTTCTTCCCATCCCTTCTTTCCTTTTGCAGTTTTCCAATTTCTTCTTTACTATTCTTCTACTGTTGCTTTTTTTCTCTCATTCACCCCCTTTCCAGGTATTGTGGGTTTTTTTCCCCTCTTTTTCTCATCTTTGTGTCTTTTTAAAATACATTTTTAAATTTTTCTTCTCATTTATTGCCTTTTTCTCTTTTCTGCAGTTGTTCCTGTTTGTTTATGTGGTTTGAGTTTTTTGTTCTTATTTTTTTTTGTGTGTGTGTGGTTTATTTATTTACTTTGTCTAACTGAGTGGGAGACAGCAACCGTTCCCACACAACCCAACCACCCTTGCACTTCCTACAGCCCCATCCACTGAGTGAAGGTCACCACTTTCTTTTGCACCAACTCACAATAGACAGCAGCCAATACCAGCTCAACTCAGCAACAACTGCTCTTTATGAACAGCTAACAGAGATCTGTGCACATATTCTCATTCTCTATCACACCTACCACGAGACAGTTGGTGAGTGCCTAAGCACTAACAATTAGCGAATAGAGGACCACGGTACCCTGTTCACACAGATATATCAAAACAAAATAAAGGAAAAAAAGTCTTGGGTGAATCACACCAGCATGTTGTCATTGTTGTTACATGCTGTTGAGTCAGACCTGAGTCATAGAGACCCCTCCTTGGGTTTCCGAGGTGGTATCACTACGGAAGTAGATTGCCCAACCTTCCTTCTGAGGAGTGGCTGGTGGGTTTGAACCACCAGCCTTCTGGTTAGCAGTCAAGTGCCTTAGGCACTATGCTACCAGAGTATACAAACACAAATTAAACATAACTACAACAAAATCACAATGTCTTTGAGACAACTGACCATCCCATTCCAAACAAAGAAGCAAGATAAAGTAGTACAAACAAGGGACCAGGATACAAACCCAGAAAACAATCGAGGAAGAAGCAGCATTGGAACTCCCTGATAAGGATTTCAAAATAATTATATTTAGGTACCTTCGACAGATTGAGAGACACAAATCAAAATAACAATGAGATACCATCTCACCCCTGCATTAATAACAAGGTTCAACAAAACAGAAAATAACAAATGCTGGTGGTGGAGGGATTGGGACCCTCATACACTGCTGGTATGACTGTAAAATGATACAACTGCTGTGGAAATCAGTAAGATGACACCTTAAAAAGTTGGAAATAGAAATACCATTTGATGCAGCAACTCCATTACTAGGTATATATCCTAAAGAACTGAGAGGCAGGATGTGAATAGATACATGCACACCCATGTTCATCACAGCACTATTCACAACAGTAGAGATGGAAACAACTTAAGTGACCATCAATGGAGGAATGGATAACCAAACTGTGGTACATATACAGAATGGAATACTATGCAACCCTAAAGAATAATGTAGAATCTGCAGAAAACTGCATAATGTGGATGAATTTGGAGGACATTATGCTGAGTGAAATAAAACAATCACAGAAGGACAAATATTGTATTAATCTATTATTGTAACAGTCAAGGAAAGGTTTATATATGGAAGTGAAATTTCTTTGTTGGTTACCAGAGATAGGAGGGATGGGGAAGGGAAATTCCTAGATATGTTGGAGGGGGCTATATATATATATA